AGAAAGATTATCCAGGAAGAAAAGACAAGAACATTCTCAGATAAACAAAACCTGAAGGAATTTACCGACACCAGACCAGATCTCCAAGAAGTTTTAAAAGGAATGTCATACCAGGAAAACTAAATGCAGACACACAGAAATAAGAACAACTAAGAAAATGGCCAACTTAATGATAGGGACAAGTCTGGAATAGAATGCTATGTTCCAGAATTTAAACAGGAAGATTAGACCACAACTGAAGATAGATTAAATATGTAAGACTGAACTGGTGAAATAGAATCTTAGGACTTTTAACTAAAACATTACTGATTTTCTTCTATGCTTTGTTTTCCAGATTGAAGGATTTTCGTCTTGTCTTGAGCTGCCAATAGGTACATGTACCTTCTATTTGAACACAATCCTAATCTGTTTCCTGGCTTTAAGTTTTAAGCAAATCTCTTAGCATTTTTTAAATTTTGACTTATTAAAGCTAAAACTGCTTTTCTTGAAATTAAAAAAGATATTTAAAAAATACCTATTTAATTACCGCAGTAAGCTATATAGCATCAGCTAGGTGTTACTTCATAGTATTTTCATTCTACTCAGAGTTTCACACCTAAAGTCAGAGATGTGTTCACAAATATGTATATATCGGCTGAACTTGCTATTGAAAGTAGTTAGATTAAGATATTTTGTGAATCAATAAAATGTGAGGAAAAAAATTAAAAAGGAATGGAATGCAACTGCAGATCCCAAAGACAGTGTGGGAGGAGGGTGGAAAATGGCAGAGGGTAAGAAATAGGGGGATAAATGTTAAAAATATATATACATATATTGGGAACCAGCAGTTAGCGTAATGGCTATGTCGCTGGACTCCCACGTAGTCGACCGCGGTTCGTGTCCCGGACCCGGTGGCTTAAAGCTCACGCCGGGCGCGTGTGCGTGCGTGCCCAAGATCCCGAGAGGAGAATGGAGGAGAAGGGATTGCGGCGTGACCATCCCCCCTGGGGGGTGACTTCTCGCTTTCTGTCTCTATGTCTCTCTCTGTCTGTCTGGCGAGCGCACGCGCCCTACAGTGAAAAACCTCTCCAAAAAAAAAAAGAATTAAAAAAAAAAGAATTTAAAAAAATATATATACATATATTTATGAAATGAGAAATAGAAAATTATTTGTCGACGATAACATGCATGATTAAGGCACTATGTAGTGTATTGTCAATGGAAAATCACAGTTTGTATGCTGTGATGATACTCAGTGAATGAATGTAAAATAAATTAATAAAAAAATAACCTTTATATTCATCAACAGAGGGAAGGTTAAGTAAATTATGTTATATCCATTCAATTAAATAATGTTCAGTTATAAAACAGAGCATTTTATGTGTAGTTATTTGAATAATCTCTAATAGATCTATTGCTTAATAAAGACAAATAGATACAGTAAAAAAAAAAAAAAAAAGTTGTCTTGATTAATTCCACTCTGGCTTCTGCAACCTTGCCAAGTATTGCCTTTTTTTTGTTTGTTTTGGAGAGGTTTTTGCTATAGGGAGCGTGCGCTCACCAGAAAGACAGACAGAAACAGTGAGAAATCATCCCCCAGGGGGGATTGCCACGCCGCAATCCCTTCTCCTCCATTCTCATCTCGTGATCTTGGGCACACACGCACACACACACACACACACACACACACACCCGGCCCGACCTGAGTTTAAGCCACTGGGTCTGGGACTCGAACCATGGTCAACTACATGGGAGTTCAGCAACATAGCCATTATGTCAACTGCTGGTCCCAGTATTGCTTATTTTTATGCCCCTTGCAAAGAACCGAAACTGGTCATTCTTCCCTAGTTGCCTAGAATAGAAATCGCTTAATGCTATGACTGATTTCCTGATAAAAATCAGTTTTTGAGTCTGTCAAAACAATGAATAATTTGCTTTTACTTCTGTATGTACACTTAATAGTAAATATTTTAGCATTTAAAGAAAAGAAAAGGAATAAATGAACTTTTAAAAGGGGGCGATAGAAACCCCCAAAACTAAACAGAAAAAGATGGTCATTTTGTCTAATAATCAGGAATATGCACATTAAAACTACTGTAAGAAAGAACTTAATGCCCATCAGACTGACAAAAATTTTATCTGATTCAATCAAATGTTAAAAAAGAAGACATGGGTTGGGGCAAAAATCTCTCCAGAAAAAGAAAAATAAAACTAGTTAATATTTAGCAATACATTCAAAGATGAAAACACTTTAAAGAAAAATTTGAGAATGTTTATTGCCAAAGTCAGAATGGTGGTTAGTCCTTGAAAGAAAGGATAATAAGATGCAAGAGGGAAAAGGAATTCTTTTTTTTTTGAGAGGTTTTTTTTGCTATAGGGCACGTGCGCTCGCCAGACAGACAGAGAGAGACAGAGAGACAGAAAGCGAGAAATCACCCCCCAGGGGGGATGGCCACGCCGCAATCCCTTCTCCTCCATTCTCCTCTCAGGATCTTGGGCACGCACACACACACACGTGCCCAGCGTGAGGTTAAGCCACCGGGTCTGGGACTCGAACTGTGGTCGACTACGTGGGAGTCCAGTGACATAGCCACTAGGCCAACTGCTGATTCCAAGGAAAAGGAATTCTTTGGGCTACTCATCTTTTTATTTTATTTTTTTTGAGGAGGGAGTGTGTTTCTACCTATTCATATACATTTCATATCCTCTTCTGTGTAAGAGGTATATTTCACAAGAAAGGATTAACATTCAGAAATACCAGGTAAGTGCTAGAAAACCGGTTCTGCATGTGGGCAAAATATTTTCAAACTGCTTTTGCTAAAAGACTTAAAAGTTCTTTTACCTTGACTATGTCCTGAATGCATTAGACAAATTTGCCATTTCAAAAACTGCAATAATAGAATTACTTTAGTAAGAATGTAACCTTTTATAGAGAGAACAGTAATTTTCTAGTCTATCTGTTTTGTAGGGACAGTGTGAGTATCTATGCTGCCAAAGCACAAATTGATCTGCTTTTCAAATATGCAATATAAAGTTTTCAAAAACTATTGAGCTCTAGACTATTCTGCCCTTCATGAAAAATACACAAGATTTGCCACACACACCAAAGAAATGAGCAAGTGTGTTACCAAAATATAAAACTATTTTGCATTGACAGTAAATATTTCATAATAACGGTATAAATGGCTACCAACTATTATTCTTTATAATATGTGTCCAATGAAAAACATGGGGTTTATAGGGAACAAAGAAATAGGATATAAGATATAATCCCAGATATTAAAATTAATCATTCTTTACTAGGCAATAACTTAAGTTTTGAAAGTTTTTTAAATTTCTTTTACATTGTTAAAGGGATTCTAGAAAACCTCCTTTTCCTTTGAGTTTCAGTATTTCATTCTTTTGCATGTATGTATTTAATATAGTCCACTGCATATTTTTATCTTACCCCCACAATAAGTGCAATTATACAAGCAGGGATTTCAAAAGTGTAGGGA